GACACCTTTATATTCGTTTAGAATATAACACTTTTATTTCACCTTTTAAATTCACAGACTCTTATTTTATTTAACACCTTCACCTTTACGATAATGTAAACAGAACAATTGTCACGGCACGAACGTCGTGCTCGAACGTGATTACGACGGACTTAAGGACTGACCGCCCGCGGCTTGTCGTTGCGCGTACTTATTGCTACGCGTTGCCGCGTCAGCGCTCAGCATTTTGATAATTGCATTGCGCGTTCTCGGTACGTCGCGGTCAACGTCCTTCGAGTTATTGTAACGATATTGCTTATTTTACGCCTTGGCTATTAATTGATTTTCACAATACTTATTGTTGTTGCGGGGGCATCGGCCTCGCGACATTATAGAGCAAAATTATTTTTTTAATGTGAAAGAATACCTTTATTTGTTATTGTATTGAGCAAAATTATTTTTTTAATGTGAAAGAATAACTTTATTTATCATTATATTTATATTTTATTTTCTGTTTTTTTCTTTTTCTAAATATCTTCTTGCTTTACAATTCGTCGTAATAATCCACATGATCGGCCGAATTATATTTATGTTTTTTCAAGATTTGCACAAGACAATTGACAGTCTGTTCTGTAGTCAACATGCTCTTCTCTTTCATTTCGTAAAACATTTTTTTAGTTTTTGAATCAGCGACTGTTCCACATACCGTTGTTAACATATCCGTATCGACAAGTCCTGGTGCATAACTTAACACGTTAACATCAGGGTTTTCCAGAGCAAAAACCTGTACGAAGAAAAATGCAGAAAAGAATATGATATCTGTTTCATAATTATACATGCATATTAAAAAAATACACGGAAAGAACGATTTTGCTGGAAAGTCAAAAAATTTCGATCTAAAAATAATTATGTTGGAAACTTAAAAATAATCAGCATTGCTGTAAAACGTGTCGATATTCTAGTAATCAATTTGAATTTTCAACAAAATTATTTTGATTGTCCAACAAGAATTATTTCGAGATCTGTATCCAGCAAAACTTTTAGACCTTTCAGCAAAATCGTTCTTTTTGTGTACGTATACCTTAAAGTACATTTCTCGTGCTGCTTTTGCCGAGGCGTATTGGCCAAAACAAACGAGCGGTTGAATAGCCACCGGCGATGTAATATTGATAACTGTCTTCTTAATAATTTTATTATTAAACGTATTCATGACCACCGCGTTTAATACGGCAGGTACAAGAAGGTTTAAATCGTAGAATTCTCTCCAGACGTTCAGGTCCATTATATCGTTTAGAGTTTGGGAGATATTGCCGACAAAGCCAACATTATGTATCAGGACCACTCGATCAAACGCATTGGGAGTAGTTCCCCTCAAAGATTCCGATATGAATTCTAAGACACATAAAAAATTGTTACTTGTAAGACAAATGAAATCCTTTCAGTCATTGCATCTATGCACGGAAAGAACAATTTTGCTGAATCTAGAACTAAAAATAATTTTTGTTTAATAATCAAAATAATTTTGTGTGAAAATGATTGTTGGAATATCAAAACGTTTTATGGCAATGTTTATCAGTTTTAACATTCCAACAAATTATTTTGATAATTCAACAAAAAATTATTTTCAGACCTGTTCTTAGCAAAATTTTTAGACCTTTCAACAAATTTATTCTTTCCGTGTGTGTGTGTGCTCCGCTCGATTTTAATAATAAGAACAATTTACCTTTGAAATTGATATCAGTTGATTTACTCAAGTCCGCACTGATGGTACAAACTTTCACACTGGAAGATAAACTTTTTCCAATTCCTTGCAATGCATCCTTACTTCTCGCTAATAAAAGCACACGCGAGCCTTCCTCTAGCATCGAACCAAACGTTATCGCGATTTGGCGACCGATACCACGACTTGCACCAGTTACCAGCAGGAAAACTTTGCCGGATAATGCTTCGACTGACATGTCTTGATGTTTTCTGTGGACTTTAACAACGATTTAAAGTTTAGCTTCTGAAAACGGACGTATTTTAAGGTGGTTTTATCGCTCAACGCCAACTCGATAGTTGTCACATAAACGGCAATCGCATACACACAATGATACATTGTACAGTCTATGCGAAATGTTTTTATTGGATTACGCTTGTTTTTATTGAATTATTAGTCATATGGAGTGACTAACTTTTGACTGGGACTTGCACGATAAAACCACCTTAAAATACGTCCGTTTTCAGAAGCTAAACTTTAAGCGACTATACAAGTCGAGCGAGAACAAGATATTACGAAGGAATTGCAAACGAACAGGCATTAACAGAGCATAAGATAGAGAATAATTACCATTAATTTACAACTAATTTTCATAAATTTGCAACATGTCAATCAAACAAATTATATAATTGATACGTTCTTTGAACAAATTATTCCATCTTAGATCATATACATGCAGTATGCTATGCTTGAAGGATAATACTTCGACCGACATGATGTCGTATATTGCAAATTTATGGAAATTAATTAATTAGTACCCTCTAGCTGGTGCTTTGTTGACGGTCTGTTTGCAGGGCCGAATTAAGAAACTTTTAGGTCTGAAGCGCTAAAAATTTTCAGACCCCCTACCCCCTTGAAAAAAAATATAAAGAACCATTAGAAAATAAACATTTATAAATTAAGATTTGTGTTAATAAAATAAACATATGAACTCATAATAAAAACAAAACAAAATAGTAAAAGTATAGCTTTATATATTTAATTAACTATAAATATATTTTTTCATGCTTTCTTTAAAGCAAAATCTTTTATAATATCATCACTGTTAATATTGTCCAGACTTTTACTCTATGTAAACTGTATAGTAAAGAAAGCGCATCAAGCCTGTTTTTCCCTGTGGTTGACCTTAAGTAACTTTTTAATCCATTTTAATGTGGAAAACGATCTCTCTGCAGAGGTATTGGATAACGGAATTATTAAATAAATTTTTCGTCGCAGGGCCGGGCCCCTTGCAGCGACCGGGCCCTGAGGCGTGCGTCTCAGGCGCATCGTGTATAATCCGCCACTGCCTGTTTGATTGCAATTCCTCCGTAATATGTTGCTCTCGCTTTCATTGCTAGTCGCTCAAAATACATCTGTTTTCAGAAGTTAAACTAACTCGCTATTAAAATCCACAGAAAACAAATCAAATAAGTTATATAATTCCTGCTTGTACAATCCGTAAATGAAACGTGCTGTCTTGGTCACGAAGTCGCAGAAAATATAATACGTCTCTCGTACGTTGCAACGACGTAATATATTAAATATTTGTTTTAATTAACCAGCTATTTATTTAATTTTCTATATATTGTGATTTCTATATTTCAAAAATAAATTTTTTTTTATTAAAGTTTTTATTTTTTATGAAATAGATTTTACTGTTAATAGCGGCTTGTCAATGACGTTTCATGACTTTCGAGACGTTGCTGCAACGTATTAACGTAATGATGATTCGTGCACAACCGACGGACTGAGGTGGACGTCTGTGGCCGAGTGATTCTACGTTCTGGAATCTTCGCGACTTTTTAGTATTTCTCTGCTTCCGCATTAGTATTCACTTACCACGTTTTAGTATTGCATCGTTCAATTGAAGAATTCTGGGCGTATTAAAACCCCGTATAGGGGGTAGGTCCGATAAGAAAAGAAGAAGAAGAAGTATTAACGTAACGTGCGACGAGTTAGCACGTTATATAGTAACTGCTTGCCACGTTTAGTGCAGGCAGGAAATAGATAAATTCTTTGAAAAAAGTTATTTTATTTTAGAACGTACATATATTTTATAATCTATGTTTTAAAGGGAACATACAGAAGCGTCCTCCTCCGATTTTAATAAGCTTTAGATAAGTTAAAAGACAATAGACAAAAATATGACAATAGATAAAATACTAATAATTTTTTATACGTGCTGAGTCGCGCGTTAGGTGTCTCACCACTCCTGAGGCCTTAAAATAATACCTAAGTTGGGATTTTTTTTGTGGGTAAATAGATCACTTTATTTAAAAGCTGTTTAGAGGATATTGTTGTACATATATAAGAAATAAAAAAAATTGTTTAAATTTTTTTATGCACAAAATGGCGGCGCAATGGCTTACTTGCGTAATCTTTTTCTGTTTTTTCTAATTGGCGTACAGGATTCCAGGCACACGGTTTACTCCTGAACAAAACACAAAGAATTTTCATTATCTACATATTGAAGACTAGAGACGTACGTAGGGATTTTTTAAAATAGTGATTTTTCTCGAAATGGCAGCTATTTTTACGAAAAGTATTTTTGTCAATGTAAGTCTTTCGTAAAATAGCTGCCATTTTGAGAAAAATCAATATTTTGAAAAATCCCTACGTATGTTTCTAGTATTTAATATGTAGCTAATGAAAATTCTTTATGTTTTGTTCAAGGCCAAACTGTGTGCCTGGAGTCCTGTACACCGATAGAAAAAAAGGGTTTCCAAGTGTAGGCCAGTGCGCCGCTATTTTGGACCTAAGAAAAATAAAAAAATATTTTTTTGATTTCTTATATATGTACAATAATGTTCTCTAAGCAGATTTTAAATAAAGTTATCCATTTACCCACAAAAAATCCCAAACTTAATATAATTATTTTAAAATTTCAGGGGTGGTGAGATCCTTTAAAGGGGTAATATTCAATCTTGAAAAACAATCTGTTTTTTCTCTTTCTGAGTAAATATCACTATTCTGAGTAAACCGTCAAAGATATGATAAAATGTTTTAAACAAAAATTTTACGACTTCAAGTGCGCTTTAAAATGCTGCATTTTTATTTAAAAAAAATCATATTTTTCACTATCCCCCACACTCACCCTTAATTTTCAAAAATTAAAATGCGCCATTGTAAAGCGCACTTGAAGTTGTAAAACTTTTGTTTGAAACATTTTTTCATCTTTGACGGTTTACGTGATTTACTCAGAAAAATCAATTTTTTTTAAGGTCGGTTATCACTCCTTAACGTGCGACTCAGCACGCGCGTATAAAAAATTGTTAGTATCTTATTTTTGTCGGTATTTTAACATATCCAAAGTAAGTACATTAAAATCGAAGGCAGACACTTTTGTGTGTTCCCTTGTAAGAATTTTATCGCTTGTTACAAAAGATTTAGTCGCAAACAACAAATATAAGACAGTTATTTTTATTATCACTTACTTGTATATATGGGAAGTTATATCCCATATCCAAGAATTTAACTCAGCTTCTTCCTCAGACTGGAAATTGTTCCCAGAGATGACGCACGATGCAATTTTTTATTGACAACAACGTCATGATCGAGATCCTTTTTCGTACAACCTTGAAACGCTTTTAATCTAAAAACCGTCATCGAAAAGAAAATAAAAATAATCAGGATGGAATAAAAGATCGTAGAAAAAAAGTACAAAAAGCTTAAAATGTGACATCTTACACAGCTTCTGTAGATATCTGCTCTGAATTAAATAATTGACTAATTGTTCTCTTTGGATTCCTCGATCATCCAAGAAAAAGTCTTCGAAACGATTGGCGTGTCGTTGTCAACTGTCGTTTCTGAACGCGTTTTGTGTTAAAAACTGCTAGCATCTGTTTAATTCATTCTAGAATACGCTAAATCATGCTGTTATCTACGATCTTTTTTAATGATATATTATTTACATCACATCACCATTAATACTTTTGTTTCTTCTTCCTTGCTAGTCAAACATACAGAACAAGATTGCGACGTATTGCGTAATGGGTCAATTCTAAGCAGAATTGTAAGGTTCGTAATTTTTTTTTTTCATGACTTATAAGAATTTATAAATGAATGCTTACAAAGTTATGCAATATCTTTACAAACAACTTTTTGCTAGTCATAAGATTTCCGAGAAATCGCATATAGATACATTTATGAATAATCGTATATTTTACGATCATACACACATAGAATTACAATTTTAATCAAAAGTTTTAACACATCTTACGAGAACAATTTCAGAGCCTTACGATTTTGTTTAAAATTGACCCATAAGAATGATATACTCCTACATGATAAAAGAATATCAATATTTCGCTTCCGTAGATCAGTGAAAACAGATATTAAACTGCCAACGAGTGCTTTTGAATATTTTGGCATTTAAATCAATTTTCTGCCGATTTTATATTGTAAATTCTTTTATATTATATTTATATTGAATATATAAAATAATCTCAAAATACTTTCAAAATATACTTTTTATTTTATATATAATATATTATTATACGGATTATATTACTAAACTATTGATGTGCTATATTAATTGTTATTAATCGTGTAATTTCCATTTTGCGCACATTATCTAATTTTTCATTGTAGATAAGATCTCCTTCCCTAAAATTCATTATATAAATGTTTTTACAAAGTAGTTTCAAGTTTCAAGTTAACAATATCATTGTTAACTTAAATATTGTTAATTCATGTGAAATGGTATAATTTACTTTACATACAATTTCTCCCTTTTGGTGATATAAAATACATATACAATTCTGTATGATTTTGAACTGTTAAGATAGAATATTTTAAAAAGTAAACTTTTATATCTCATTTTAATACAGTAATTAAAACAAGATATAAATTTTACTTTTCAAGACATTCTATTAATTTGTTAATAAATGTGTAATTTTCCACTAAAACTATTTTTACATTGTTCAAAGTAAAGTAATCTATATGTTAGTAATTTATATAATCTATATGTTAGTAATTTATAATTTACAATAGTTACAGCAATTCCTTGTCGTATTTGTGTATACAAAATTTAAACTATTACAGAATTTTATATAATATTTATATAATAATAACTTTAATAAGTTAAATAATAAACTAAAAATATATATATAATTTTATTTGATAGTAAACAATTAATTTATCAGAGTCACGACCGCAAAACTCTTTATAAATTGAGGTCCAAAGATATCTTATAAATAAAGTACGTTATATACAATACTTTAACATTTTATGTAGAAATATTTTATCATTTTATGTTAAATCAAATTGACTAATTGTATAATTTAAGATTTCAATAATAAGTATACGATTAAGGCTGGCGTCGATTGCTTGTGGATGCAATGGATCAAATGCTATGGAAACATACCTATACAACGCAATGCCGAATGAATAGGTGGCTATTCGCTTTGTTTTTCAATATTTTGAACTTTGCTGCCTTTGTTTTGTATATTATTTGTTACAAAAATAATAAAATATTAATTGTATATTGGCTCGTATTTTAGAGTAAAATAGAAATTAGAAGAATAAAGTCCAACAAGCGCAAGTTACCGGCGGAACGTTGACCAAAGAGAAGACCTCGTGGTTGTCGACCCTCCTCGTGCTTGTCGATCGTAATCAAATCTAACTGGATTGTCAAGGGAAGAGGTGAATAGCGACGGCTTCAGACAACGATCTTGATTTTGAATTTTGGACATCAAGACTTACACCGGAAAGGAAACATTGCGTGTTCTCCTGACTAGGACTAATGAATTAATTATAATTTGAAAATTTATAGTTGCGGCTGAAGAAGATTTAAATAAAGTCAAAACACATCCGCTTTAGTTTTACCGAATAAAATTATAGAATTATATTGCAACATTTCTATTTGTTTATTCATCGGCCTTTATTTCTTCTAATTTCTATTTTAATAAAATATTATTACATTTTATAAAATATGTATCAACTATGTGTTTGATATATTTTTACATTTATATAATATGCGTAGTTTAATATATCTGCTATGTATTTTACGTACGTATTTGGATATTTCACACTCATTATGTTAATTACACATTTAATACATTATATGAAATAAAACGCAATGTATGCAAATATGTATTTAATATATATTTGTAAGATGTATTTAATATGTGTTGCTTTTTTACGCGCACAGGGACTTCGATTTATTAGGATCCGATTTTTAAGAGAATCAAATAACAGGCTTTAATCTTATAAGGTTTTCTTTATTGCGTAACACAAACACTTACAGCTTTATTGTATAAAGTGAAGAACAGAAAGTGCAAAAAGGAAAACGAGTAGCGCCTCTTTTCTATAGTAACTTTTTAATACATAAACGCAATTGAACGAATATGCAAACAAAAATTACTACAGCGCATCAGTGACTTATTGATTATGAACGATATAAAATGCATAGATAGCAAGATTAATAAAACTTTAATTTTCAACAAAATGTATTTATGCTATTCATGTATATGCATAAAGATTCGTCATATGTGTGGGCAAAGTATTGTTGTGAGTCCTCCTGTTGCGCTACTTACATGTGTAACACTTTAACGATAAGCAGGTCGCTGTTGTAATCTAATCTTGCAGCAGCGTTGCACCAGAATAATTGATCAGGAATACTGTTACACCGGCGCTATAGGTGTAATGGGAGAGAATTTCGTGATAGGATGGTAGAATAAGTCACTCGATAAACTTCACATTTCACAGACTTTATTTATGACTTATACACTCGCGTACTTACGCGCACCGACAGCGCCGACGCGGGATTTCGGCAGTCTCAATGTGTTCGTTCTTTAAAATTTGCAGCCGTTGCAATTAGGCAATAATTGCAACTGTTGAGCAGTGGCCGCGGCCACTTGTGACGGGATAAAATCCGCCGTCCAGCGAACTGCACTGCGGAATTCAATTCTAAACGTTAAACGTTATTACGCTGTCAGTACGCGTAAGTACGCGAGTGTATACAAGTCATAAATAAAGAGTCCGTGAGTATAAAGTTTATTGAGTGATTTATTCTACCATCCTACCATGAGATTCTCCCCCGTTACACCTAGCGCCGGTGTAACAGTATTTATTAGGGTGGACTTTATTTATACTTGGTGAAAAATTTTTTCCAAATTTTTTTTACGACGCCCCCTAAAGTTGTTTTATTTGATGAAAAAAAAATTGTGTAAAAGTTGAGCTTGATCGAACAACAGGAAGACGTGGCACAATCCTATTAAAGTTGAAACAAATATTTTTTTCACAAAAAATGGGGAAATCCGATGAAAAGAATTCTGAATAAAATACGATATATTTCGTATATACACACACATATATATATATATATATATATATGTGTGTATATACGAAATATATCGTATTTTATATTTATAAGCAAGCACATGAGGAAAATAAAGATATCAATATATTGTTTGCATCTATATATTTTAGAATCTATTGTAATTTCACAAATCCTTAAGGCGGTGCCGGAAGGTCGGAAAAATTTGCACGAGATCGATAAAGTAGACTCTTCAGTGTCAGTGGTATCTCTAAATGAACTCCTTACAATATTTTCTAGTCTTACTCAAACTCGTGGAATGTCCTTATTTAACTAATTGAAGTGCCATCTTTTGGAAAATCCGGCACTTACTGCCAAACGCAATTTTTGCTGTCTTTACTTTAGCCGAGCGTACGAATTACCACAAATTGCATTCTAATGAACAACTTTTTTTCTATTCTTCCAATCGTAGCTCAAAACGTCTTGTATTATTCGTGCAAGTGGTCCGATGCGCGCTAGGTACTTTTTTTGTACATATGAGCTGCAGAACTTTTGTACCAATAAAATGTTTACGTCAGGTCCATATCAATTTCATATTAATTTCACTGAACAAGCTGCAATTACTTTTTTTAGAAAGTTTAGGAGAAAAATGTTTATTTGTCGATAGTTTTGAATTATAAAGTTTTCATGCACTAAATTTCAAAAATATAAATCATAAATCTATACTAAAATAAAATTTAAAAGAATTTTAAATTGAGAGTTAATTGCATAATTCACTCAGGTGTTTTTCTCTTTTTCTCCTTTTCTCTGAAGCACATTACGGAAATATTGCCATTTAATATTTGCAAAAAACAAACTTAATATTTACAAAATGTCCCGAGAATTAATTTAAAAACTTCAAGTTAGATATGCCACGTCTTCCCGTTATCCGATCGAGCTCAACTTTTACATAATTTTTTTTTAAAATGGAACAACTTTAAGGAGCGTCGTGAAAAAATTCAAAAGTCAAAAATAAGGTCCACCCTAGTATTTATATACACAATTACATTGTGCATTTCGTTCCACTGGTCAACCAAGCTCTCACTAATACACGGAAAGAACAATATCGCTGGATCCAGATCTGAAAATGATTTTTGTTCAATAATCAAAATAATTTTATGGAAAAGTCAAAATAATTGCTAAAATATTAAAACATTTTATAGAAATACTTATTATTTTTAACATTCCAACAAAATTTTTTGATGATTTAACGAGAATAATTTTCAGATCAGTATTCAGCAAAATTTTTAGATCTTTCAACAAAATTGTTCTTTCCGTGTACGTGTACTGAAGGTGAGATTGATCTCGTTCAATTTAGGACAATTAATGAATAATAGGGAACATATGTCAGGGGTCGCAGATGGCATACCTATCAAGTTTAAAACTTTTAAGTTCTTGCACAACGCTAATGTTTTCAATTCACATTCGGTGAGGTATTGAAAATAGTTTAAGTTGATTTTTTCCAGGCGTTGACAGGAGGAAAACAATTTACTAAAGATATTTTCTATATTATAATTATCAGTGATCGACCAATAGGAACTGTAAACAAAAG